TTGGATATGTTTGGTCATAATTTTCAATCATATACATTCTCGACTTGCCTCATAGAGTGTAATAATTTCACAATAATTTGAAAATATTGCTATCAAGATTTACTTCATAGATCTTCATAATATAAATTGTTCCATTGCGTTTAAACATATTTCTTGTTTATGATTTAGTTTTATGTAAATTGAAGAGATAATCTGGTGTGAATGTGGTATGAAGTGTATTTTATTATTATATAATAATCTATGAAAACTGCTGCATTTTACGGGATATTTTAAATAATCAATATTACAATAATTTTACAAGTTAATTATAATCGATTGAGTTTGTGGTGGGATGGTGATGCGGATTACCAAGTGGATTGAAGAAAAATAATAAACATTAAGTTTTTCTGTTTTTCAATTTATTAGTTAATTTAATTTGTTCAAAGACATGTTATTTAATTAGTTAGGTGATTATATTTTTTTAACATATGATTTCCACGTTCTGTTTAAATTTATGGATTTTTTAGTTATTTTATTTTAAAGAAATTTATTTTATCGTTCATATTTGACGTAAAGGAAAGTAAGTTTTTGATAACACTACAAGCTTTATGAAAAATTGAGATGTTACACCGAACATGAGACTATTGAAGTTAACATTGATGATGAAGATAAAGCATTGAGATTCATCTGATTGTTTCCATCTTCTTATGAATTCATTAAATCTATTTTGCTGTAAGGAAAAGAAACTACGAATTTGGAAGATACTGCACAGAAATTAATTTTTGAAGAAATAAGATAAGGTGGAAGCAATATTTTCACCTAAAAAATAGATACCTGTTGCTAAAAATAGGAATAAAGAGTAACTTGATGAAGAAAAAATAATTTGTCGAAATCATTGACAAACGTTAATTGATTTCGAGTAGGGAAGAATTGGCAGAAGTTTTAATTGCTTGGATAACTGAAATTGTGCAAATTTTGATTTGAACAAAGTCATTGTTCATCTCATTCACATGTTGGTTCTCTTCATGGGCGCATGTAGGGAAATGCAAATCAAGGATCGAAATACATGAGCCTTGAACTTGTGTGGGAGTGCAAACTTCGTGCACAAATGTCGAACCGACCTGCATCAACTTTGAAATTTAATTAGGGTGTAATTCTCCACAGCTGAAAATATAAAACTAAGGATGACGATGCTAAGAAATTCATTGCCGACATATTCTTATATTATAAAATATTGAACTAAAAAACTAATATAAGTCAAGTGCAATGAATCACTTGCAAGAACTTTTGTTGTTTTCTTCAATTTGAGTAAAAATTTCCAAGTGGCTGGAATTATTGAAAGTTGCATTTGACATGAAAAAATCTCAAGAATTATCTAAGCATAAAAGAATGGAAAAGAATGTCGAAAACCTAAAACTTCAAATTGTAGAAAACAACAAGACTTCAAAAAAAAAAATGTGGTTCAATCTTGGTATAGCTAAAGCTAATGTTGTGGAGTATGATCAAAGTTCTAAGACCTATAAGATCAAGTTTAGGTCAGCTAGTGGAAAAGTGGCCAAGATGGGACCGAAATGTGGGATTTCTAAAAAGATATTTCAAGGAAAATGCTTCAATTGTGGGCCATTATTCTTTAGAGTGTAGATTGTCAAAGAAGAAAAATGAAGCAAATGTGATTGACTACATGGCACATGATATGTCGAAGATAAATCCCACAGCTATCATTTATAAAGTGAACATGATAAATCCCACTACGAGTGTAGAGACTCTTTCCATGTATGGTCGCGGAAGGATATAAATCAAGGACCGAAATTGTACATCGAATTTTGAACTTGTGTACGAGCAAGACTTGCATACATGAATGTTGAACTGAACAGAGCAAAAACTGGCCCCTTAGGAGTGTCCACATTTGGCCTTTATTTCCCATGTGTTTTTATTTTTATTTTTTTCTTCTAAGTGATTTTTCAAATTCCAAAACTTCCATTGTTATTACCGGTTAATGGAGAAACTTAACAGCCAAGTTAATGATAGCATTAAAGCTTTTAACGCATATAACTCCTGGTCCATTATGGCAATCACTAGAGTCTATTTAGATAGTCAATTTCTCCTTCCATCCATCAACGAAATTACACTCATTCTCTCCATACACTACTCAAAATTTCTTTTTGCCCAAAGTTTTGGTGGTTCTGTTCAGATAAAATTCAGTTCGTCGGAGTAAAAAAGAAGTGCTCATTTTTTATTGATTTTTCGTTGTATCCTGGGATACAAACATTCGGACTAAACATTGAGCACCTACGGTGAGGACGAAGTGCTCATTTTTTATTGATTTTTCGTTGTATCTGGGGATATAGACATTCGGACCAAAGATTGAGCACATTCGGTGAGGGGACAAATCTGCTTTAAAGATATTGTGTAAGGCATAGGCCTCGGTTTGCAAAATATGTTATCCTTTAACGATTATTATATGTACGCAATATTATTTCGTGTTCGATATCTTTCTGAAATAATAACCATTTTATAATCTGTTATAGTATTTGTTGTGTTCTTAAATATATCATTTTACAAATCATTTCGGAAACAGTTTGCGTTAGAAGAGTGGTGTCGTTGTGGAGTGAAATAGAATGGAAGAGAAGAATGGATCAAAGTATCTACAAATTTTGACCAACATTCTTGTAAATTTGAGAAAAAGAGATACAATTTCATTTTCTATCTTCCAAAGGATAGTTTGTGGTCAACTTTCATCGAAGAAAATTATTAAATTTATAGTAAAAATGGATAATGGAAGCAAATAAATATGTCAATATAGTAAACAAAAATTTAAATTTGTATTAATTATTTTCTTAGTTTACTACAGTAAGAGAGAGAAAAAAATGTGCTTATCAAACTCTACAAAAAAATGAATTTTTGAAAAAAAAAATGTGCTTATTTGAATTTTATTTTTCAAATTAAAAATCAAATCAAATCAAATCAAAAGAAAAGGCTCTTCTTTTCTACCCTATTGGGTACTTCTTAACATCTTAATGTTTCCACCGTTATCTGTGGTTGGAAATTTGGGTTTACGTGCTTCACTTCTCGTAGTAAAATATTAGATGCTTATTTTGTGTTTGTCTATGTTTTTCTTGAATAAATATAGGGACCATAGTGGAAATCAAGATTTTGTGAACATGTTTATTAAGATAGCTTGATTTTAGTCTTAACTGCTAATAATTTGCCAAACGACAAATACACCACAGGCCATCCTTTAAGTAAGACATGCTTTTATCGAATAAGACTTGTTGGCTTTATTAAAGCTATTTCTCTTGCCTGAAGTTTTACTTCTTCCATCAATTCAAAAATGCAAAACTAAACCTTGAAATAATTTTAAGTTCTAGAAACTTCCTCATTGCATTTTTAACTTGCATGCTTGCTCAGAAAAAGTTTAGGGCTCAGAGACTGATGATTAAGGATATTATGAACTCAACTTTCTTCTCAGATCAGCGTGCAAACCCAAAGTACTTCTTAGAAAGTTTTAGTTAGCTGTTTCTTGGGAGATTAGTAATAGAACAAAGCGGTATTTAACTATTGACAAAAATATATTTAACGAAATTGATAATGATCTATAATTATACGAAGTTTTTAAAATATGAAAACACGTCATGAAATTATGCATATAATTTTTGCCCACCAAAAAAAAAAAAAATGATATCTTGGCTCCGCATTGGATGGCACTCAATGTTTGTTTAATAGTGATTTTAATTGTTTAAAAGTTAAGGATTATATCAAATGAGTGAGCAATATATATATACATATATTTCGTTTTGATTTGATATTTTAGCCTCCGTTTGAGCTCTATTATTTCTCATTACATCAAATTAAATTTTTCTCTCTCCTGCTTTTAACCACACAATTTTCAATAAAATAATATTACAAGTAAATCAAAAAAATTTCAACCACACATTTTTCAAAAAAAAAAAAAAACACACTTCATCTCATTATAATTTCAAATAATGGGGTTCAAACACACCCTTACAATATGATTATCCATTTTGAGCAATTTAAAATTTGTTAGAAAGATTGCATTGCGACCATGATGTTCTGGATGAAATTTGGAATTTCGAAATTATCTCATATTAATTATTAAATGCAAAATTATGATTATTATTTTTTCTTTTTATTTTATTATTATTATTATTATTTGCAATATCTATGTAAAAAATTATGAAGTTTAGACCATGATTATTATGTTCATTTCTTGCGACAATTTTTGACACATTATTATGAATTCGTAATTTATTGATTTTTAAATTCGAAAATTGTAATTCAAAGTTTGTTTTGAATAGTTAAAAAAAAAATAACAAAAATCTGACCCTACGTTAATAATGTAGCCCATAACATCTTTCAAGTTACTAAGAAAATTACAATGTGCTGAGATATAAAAAATATGAAATAATATTACTTGTACATAACGGAGGTACATAATATTTTACATATAGATAAGGTGTAAAAAAAGAGAGTAGAGAATATTTTTTTTATTTGGTTGAAAAAATTCTGAGTTAATTATATCTTAGTACCTCATATGTACCGAAAGAAAAAGATGAAGAATTTTCTTTTTCCTTTTTCCATTTTTTTTTTAATTTCATATTTACTTTTTGCTTATTCGAGGTTAAAGGTTATTTTGTAGAACATAAAAACTCAATATTATATAACAAGGATAAAAGTGCAGAGGATATAAATCGGGAACAACGAAGTATAAATAAAATTGAGGCCACCATGAAGAAGGATCTACATTACAACATATGGCCCCCAGGGCACATCTCCAAGTGGTAAAAGGGGAGAATGGAGAAATTCAACTTTACTTGAAATTGTCGCGTCAAGGGTTCGAATCCTGAAATATGGATTTGGCTTTTGGATAAATACAAGTGTACAAGCAGCCTTCCACCTTGTACCCTTGAAGGCAAAACCTGCAATTTACCTCCCTCACATTACTTCAGGACAAGAGTGATGGGCACCTTTAAGGTTGGGGTTCAGCCTTTTTCACATTACAACATATGGACCCGATGGCCACGTGACATCGAAGTTTGAAACACCCACAAACAACTCTGACGACCTCCCTCAAGTGATCCGCTTCTACCGCTTCTCAATCAGAGTGCAAATTACATGCCAAACCTACCGAAACAACCGCATTGTCATTACTCATTTTTCAGTTTCACCCACAACAAAATGGATCTGTTATTTTCTCTTAGAATCCTCAGATTCATACCCATCGCATTGTCGTTTTTCTTATTGAATCAATTGATTTCTTTGTAGCCCATTTCTCTTTCTGTGATAATTGATTCTTTTTCTTTTCTTTTTTCTCCAATGAAAATGGACGTCCCATTTCAAGAAAATAGCTACTTTTTGCCACTTGTCAATGCAGCCTATTTAATAACAAGATTGTAACTAATAGAAACGCGGGTTGTTGGTTTTTTTTTTTTTTTTAGTTCGTATAGAAATTATGTGTGACACTTTGGTGGCAAGAACGGGCCGGCATCAGCAGCGGTATGACTCCGGCTTTCGCCTTGTGGCTGGGTAATTCTTACTGCCATTTTCATTAATTTTTGTATTTTTTTACAAGGATTATTTTATTGTGCATGTGGTGTGTTAATTTATTGTGTTTTATGTGTATGCATTTATAAATGAATTTGATCTAATAATTCATTACGCTCAACATTAATGTATGTATCAATTATCGAAATTTTGCAGTTTAATATTAATTGTGTTGTATAAGATTGCAATTCTTTATTTAAAAAAAAAAAAAAAGGTTCGAACCTCAACCTTGAGGCTCCACCGCCCCGCCCCCAGAGCTTTGTGAGGAAGGTAAATCACGGGATGTGCCCAATAGGCCGGAGAACAAGAACTACCTGTACCAGTGCCTACAAGGAGTCAAATTCCATGTTTCAAGAATCAGACCCCCACACTGTGGCTGTCAGCAAGGCGTGAGATAACCGCACTTCTATCCTTTGCACCACTGGGCTATGCCTCGGGGTGGTATTGCAATTCTTTATTAGTTGTACATTCTTTTGTTGGATTTTATTATTATTATTATTATTTATTTTTTTTTTTGTTTTTTTTTTTTTTTTTTTTTTTTTTTTTTTTTTTTTTTATGTATATAATTTTAAATTTGTGCTAGAGGAAATGCATCTCATGTATATCAAGTAGAAATATGAGAATGTTAATGCCGGATCGCAATGTCAAATGAAAAATTAACCCATTCTAAGCAATTTACGAGTAGATTTTTCTGCAACAGAATATGTCATTTCTTGCTATGGATGTAAATGATATATATTATTTTTTCTATAGAAAAAGGGGGAGCTAAGTTCTTGGGAAGAGCTTGTATAACTAAGATTACATGTTGGGTTTTTTCCTGAAGAAAAAGATTATGTGACTTGAAAACGTGTAAATTTTATTGAACTTTATAGTGATGAAGGAAATTTTCTTTGGTAGTGAATTCTCTTCTTGAATGAGAATTAAAGTTTAGAATTGGATGTGGATCATTAAACTTTTTCACTGCCTGCAAAGCTTGTTTTTGCTCAATTTTTTTTTCTCTTTATTTGGTAGTGTCCTAACTTATGAGGCCTGAGACTTTATCGCATCAGTTGATAGATTTTCATACCATGATGATATTCTTTGAAATGTTTTGTTACAGTCAAATATTTATGTTAAATTTTGCATAACATTCCCCTGGAAATGTTACTTGAGCCTAGAACTATATATTCTGTGGGGGAAGCTACTATTTCTGTTAATCTAAATATATTTGAAGCACATTTTTTAACTTAGAAATTTTATGCCAGATGCATTCCATATAGATATAGAAATTCTGATGCAAGGAGTGAGGACTCAGAGAAGATTCTAGAGGTTCTCATGATAAACTCACCTAGTGGTCCAGGACTTCTGTTTCCAAAGGTATCAGTCATGCACCTCTTTATTTCTGCTACCTCCATACAATGAAATACTGTTTGTAGTTCAGAGTAAATTTCCAAGTATTTGTTTTCTACTCTTACATATGCTGTCAGTAAGTTGGAAGCACTATTTAGGAGCACTGTCTTCAAATTGACATTTAGTTGGACTTGTTCCACTTGGCACTATTTCTGACAAAAAACGACCAAGAGGTTTAAAATCAGTCGAAAGGAATTGGTTGGCAAGCCTTAATGTTCACATTACCGACCATGTTTCTGGAAGTCAATTACTTCTTCCAATGTTACTTATGTCAGATGTACTTCTACAAATGAAAATATCTTCAGAAACTGAGAACCCAAAATACTGATTCATTCTACGAATACTATAAGTAGTGTCATGAACAGCTGGTATCCAAGGCTCTACTTGAATGCAGGAAACTATGAGGGAAGTTGTTTCTTGTGAAAAGAAAGGTGCCTGCACATTGCAATTTTTTTTGTTGTTTGTGTGGCACTTTGTTTAAAAGAGAGAAGTGGAAAGCGTAGAGAGTTCTACATCTGATTAGAAATTCCCCCTGCCTTGCGATTTTTGTATGTTTTCACTCAGAGATTTCTTGTGTGGCATGAGTAGCAATCTATGTTCATGGCTTGTATTAGCTTGCTTCAATATTTCAATTTTAGTTTGCGATTTTTTACTGGAAGTTTTGGGTTTATATTTATTTGTCAAGAGTTGTTTTGAAGAAGTATATTGCAAGCATTGTTAAATTTTGACAAATACTTTGATGAAGCACTGCTTATTGGACGAATTATGAGATGATGCAATTATGTTCTCGAAAGAGTTGCATGAGGCTTCTTGTAATTGGTTGTCACCAATGAATTAGCCTAACCTGCAGAACATGATTAAGCTTCATCCTTTGATTATTTGGTTTACATTTTTTTAGAGTATGATTTTCTCTTTCTTGTCTCTTGGGAAGCAGCTCTAGAACTTCCATTATTTTTCTTAGTCAGCTTCTGTTATTATATTTTATCTTTCTTTGTCTAATATGCATTTATGAACTTTTTGTTATTTATTTGAAGAGAAACTGGATAAGTATGTTATTAAGTCATTTATGTGGCTCTCTCTCACCAGGGAGGCTGGGAGAATGATGAAACAGATCAACAGGCAGCAATTAGGGAAGCTATTGAAGAAGCGGGAGTACGGGGAAAAATAATGGTGAGAAGTTATTCTGAGTGTACATTTTAAGCCTTCCTGCCAAAATTTCTACTTCCCAACTTTTTAGCTTATAAGTAAAATATAACCTATCCAAACACGTTTGCAAATAAAAAGTAACTTGAGAGTTAGTTGAAGTAACTTTTAAACTTAGCCGAACATGCAGTATAATCCAGTTAATATTTATGAGACTTTTGTAATCATATGATGGTTTATTTGTTGAAAAATGGGTAGGCATGCTAGTCTTGTTAACTATGGATACAAGAATTTCATGCTTGTCCTTGTATTTCAAGTTCATGTATAAGTATTCTTTTCCTACTGGAAGTTGAGTTTCTATATCAAATTAGAGGTGCAACAGTTATTACTTGTTCAGAATTTTTTCTTGAAAGGTTTAACCTATTGGAAATTTCCGCCATTTTAATTAGCATTGAACCAACTGGTAAAGGATACTTAAGAGTTCCTTGGGAACATATGACTAGAGTATCCTTATACGTCAATACTTTTATCGATGACCGATGACTACAATACAAATATTAGTGGTGAGAGGTTGGACTAGATGGTCAAAAGGTAAAACGACTTGGTTGTTTTATGTGGTTGTGTACCCACAATGGATATTAATATTTCTTACTTTCTTAAATTAAGATATTTCTTGTAAATAAGGTACCTAGATATGGATTAGATACTAAGTGGTAAAATTTTGGCGAGTATATCAAAAGACACTTTTTAGTTGGCTATGTTGAAATAAAGACCCACTCTGTAATTTTCGTTTAAAATACCATTTTAAACATTAAAAGTCTATTATAATCTTATTTTCTCCAGTCTTTCACAAAATTAACAATCTTTCACCAACGAGAAATCCATCACTGTCTTCATTGTCCCTCCTTCCTTTCCTCGGTCTTCCCTTCCCCATCTCTTTCCCTTGTCCTCCCTCAATTTTCTATCTTACTCGACACTGAAATCATTTTCTCGAGTAAGGTAAAATGGAGTTAAAACCACCAAAAAGCAAGATGGAGGAAAACTTGCAATGCCAGATCACGAAGTGCAAGAATGCCTTTATAGATAGCTATCTTCTATAAAGGCTTTTCGCTAGTGGTACCACCTATTACTTTGTTGGCATGGGCTGAAGTGTTCTTTATCTGGTGATGATGGTGGTTGGGAGGTCATTGATGAAGCTTTGAATATTGTAGATTTTATTTTTAATTGTTTGTGTTTACCCGAAAGGCATATTCAACTTTGGAGTAATAGAGACTAATAGGGACGGGATGGGTACACCAGGAGGTAGGTCAAGAAGGGGGATCGTAAGCTTAAACGGCTCGAATGTTCCATTAACTATGGCGTCAAGGGTGGTGAGTCGAGGAGAAGCCTGATGTGGAGGGATGATGGAGCGTTGAGATAACTCTAAAAATAATTTGTTGTAATGTGAGAGGGTTTAATGAAGCTGGGAAATGGTTAGGTGTTTGGAATCTATTAAGGAGATGGAGGGCTGACCTTGTACGTTTACAAGAAACAAAGTGGGAGGTCGTTTCGAGAACCGTTTTAAATAGCCTATGGGGGGATAGGATGTGGGGTATCAGTTTGCAAGGTCATCAGGGGCTTTAGGAGATATGCTAGTAATGTGGGACACTAGAGTTTTTGATATGGAGGAGGTTAGTGAAGGGATATTTTCTTTAGAGCTTTCGTTTAGAAATATTGGAGATAGTTTTCGTTGGATATTTATAGGAGTTTTTGGGCCTAATGTAGATGAGAGCAGAGTTGGACTGTGGGATGAATTGCCTTGGATGATGGCTTGGTGGAACCTCCCAACGTGTATTGGGGAAGATGTCAATGTAGTTCAATTTCCTACTGAAAGGTCTAGTGGGGGAGATTAACGTGTATGGAGGACTTTTTAGATTTTATTAGGGAGAATATGTTGGTGGACTTGCCTATGATTGAGAAAGACTTTACCTGGTCATCTAATCAAGACCTAAATGTCCTATCCCCAATAGATCGATTTTTGGTACGTGGGGAGCGGGAGGCCTAATATCCATAGGTAACTCAGAGAAGATTATAAGGTTGTATTTAGATCATTTCCCTATTTCGTTAGCTGGGAATGCGAAATGTAGTGGAAAAAAGCCTTTTAGGTCTGAGAAGATGTGGTTTAAAATAGAAGGTTTTAGGGAACGAGTACGAACATGGTGGGCATCCTATGACTTTAGGGGGTCTCCCAGTTATGTGCTGGATCGGAAATTGAAGGCCTTGAAAATGGATTTAATGAGGTGGAATGAGCAGGTGGTGGAACATGTTAACTATCGCAAAAATCAATATCTATCAGACATAGAAGAGTTGGATAAGAGGGAGAAAAGTCGAGAAGGGATGAGAGGGTGAGATGTGGAGAGTTAAGGAAAGAGTTGGAGAGGTTAGTGCAGGTGGAGGAGACTGCTTGGCATCTGAAATCTAGGGTCAAGTGGTTGAAAGAGAGAGACAAATGCACCCAATTTTTCCTTGGAGTCGCTAATTCTAACAAGCGCAACAATTCAATCACTATGTTGGATGTAGATGGGGTTACTTATGAGGATCTACAGGACATCGGGACCTATATGGTAAGTTTCAATCACTCTATCAGGAGTAGTTTGACTGGAGGCTAGAGTTGAAGGGACTAGATTTTTCTACTATTAATAAAAAGGATGACAATTGGTTAGAGAGACCATTTGGGAAGGATGAAATTAGAGAGGTGGTGTTCAGCATGAATGACAATAAGGCTCCCTGATTCTCTCATTTTATAAGACTTGTTGGGAAGTGGTGCAATCGAATATTGTGGATGTCCTTACTTATTTCTTCCAGTGTGGAAGGTTCTTAAGAAGCGTTAATGCTATATTTATTGTGCTTATTCCTAACAAACCGAGACCGATGGATATTAAGGACTTTCGTCCTATTAGCTTAGTGAGTGGGGTGTACAAGATTATTGCGAAGATTTTGGCTAATAGATTAAAGGAGGTATTGGGGAAAGTGATGTCTAAGTTTCAAGAATGCCGTGGTAAAACGATGCCAGATTTTGGATTTCGTACTTATAGCAAATGAATGTATTAACTCAAGACTGTGCTTAGGGGTTAAGGAATGTTATGTAATCTTGACTTCAGAAGATTTATGATCACGTAAATTGGAGATTTCTTTTGTTTTTAATCAGGTGATGTGGCTTCGGGGATAAACGGTGCCAGTGGATTTAATTTTGTATCTCTACAGATTCTTTCTCAATTATGGTGAACAACACTCCAGAGGGTTATTTTTGTAGTAGAGAGAATTGAGGCAAGGAGATCATTTCTGTCCATTGTTGTTTGTCATTGTAATGGAGGCTTTCAGTAGGATTCTTTTGAATGCTGTGGGGGAAAATTTGTTAAGGTGCTTTATTGTTGAGCGGTTGCAAGTATCTCATTTGCTATTTGCAGATGATGCGTTGATATTTTGTAATGCAGATGTTGAACAATTTAGGAACCTATGTCGTTTGCTCCTATGCTTTAAGGCCGTATCTGGATTGAAGATAAATTTGGGAAAATCTGAGACTATCACAGTGAAGGAGGTCAATAACGTAGAGCTGGCTGTCATATTGGGTTTCAGGGTTGCACAACTACCTATGATATATCTTGGGCTTCCTTTAGGAGCATGGTTTAAAAGTATACATATTTGGAACAGTATTGTGGAAAGGGTGGAGAGAAGGCTAGCGGGTTGGAACTATATGTACCTCTCAAACTCTCATAGAGTCCACTTTGTCGAATTTCCCTTTCTTCTCATTGTTTCCTATTCTTGTTACAGTGACAAAAAGATTAGAGAGGATCTAAAGGGAATTTCATTGGAAGGATTAGGGGAGGAGAAAAAATTACATTTGGTTAATTAAGGTGTAGTTTGTTCTGTAACGTTGGATAATCTCGGACTGAAGAGTCTCATACTGTTTAATAAGGCCTTGCTGGGTAAGTGGTTGTGGCGATTCGAAGTGAAGAGCGAGAGATTTTGGAAAGAGATTATAGGGGCCCAAATATGGTATTGTAGAGGGGGATGATGCTCAGTCAAGTGTCATGGTTCTTATGGGGTGGGTTTGTGGCGGTATATTCGGCGAGGTGGAGCGATTTTCGGGATAGATTGACTTTTGTAGTGGGAGAATGGTAATATTATCAGTTTTTGGGATGATTGTTGATGTGGAGATCAATCGCTGAAGGTAGGATTTCCTTCTTTGTATCGTATTGCGTTGGTTTCGCCTATCCTAGATATATATAATGGGGGTCTTAGTTGGAACATTGTCTTTGGCCGGGTTGCAAGACTAAGAATTGGATGATTATGCCACTTTTGACATCTTTGTACAAGGTACACATCTAGGCAGGAGAGATTCATTGCAGCAGGTGGAGATTGACATTGGGATGATATTTTTTCAGTTGACACTTATTTTAGATCCTTATTGAGACCTTTGGAGAGTTCATTTCTCGGGAAGATGGTATGGAAATATAAACTGCCACCACAGGTGGCATTTTTGCTATGGACAGTGATTAGAAAAAAGCTGTTAACGGTGGATAATCTTCGAACAAGGGGTTTTTATATTAAAAAGTGGTGTTATATGTGTAGGAGGGATAGGGAGACAATCGATCACTTGTTTATTCGTTGTGATACTGCTCGTTTACTGTGGAACGATATTCTGACGTCACAACACATGGATTGGGTGTTACGGAGGCGTATGAAAGACGTGTTAAAGGCATGGAGGAGAAAGTTTTGTAATAAGGATAGCAAGCTTGTGTGGGACCTTATTCCGGATTGCATCGTATGGTGTGTGTAGAGAAAGAAACGGCCGCTATTTTGATGATCAAACATAGACAACAGTGCAGATTAGATAATTGTTTTATTTGACATTGTATATACTTGATTTAATGCTGTGACTACTAAGCATATTGACGGGCTATCCAATCTCATGTTGTTCCTTTCTGGTTTAAATTGATAATACATTCCGATGTATCATGCATTCATTAATAAAATATTTGATTACCTTGGAAAAAAAAAAAAAAAATTGGAGTAACGATGTAAAGGAGAGGAGGAGAGGAAAAGTGGAAATAAATTTGTAATTTTCGGGTGGTACTGATTGGAACACTGATGGTGTAAACAAGAAGGCCTTTATGGATTCACCAGAGAAGTTGATGAATAAAGTTTCAGTGGGTGGACACTGAAAGAAGAGAGGGAGGAGGTGGGAAGGATGAGGGTACATTGAGAAAAATAATCTTGTTCACATAATTTGGAAAAAAGGGCATACTTCATTTGTCTCCCCTATTGGGTACTCCTAAACAATTTTCCCCAAGATTTTCAAGCGTAGATCTTTTATGTAACTACCTCATTTTCATGTCATTTTAGTTTAATAGCCTTTACAGGTTTGTTAATATCATAACCACCTTTATTTTCTCTTTGCCCACGAGTAAATAACATTATAATCCTGATATAAACTGTGTTTTTGTTCAGAAATTTCTCGGGTACTACCAATTCAAGAGCAAAACCCACCAAGATGAGTGCAGTCCAGAAGGTTTGTGTAAGGCTGCAGTGTTTGCTATGCTAGTCGAGGAAGAACTTGAATCATGGCCAGAGCAGAACACACGAAGTAGGAAATGGTTAACCGTATCTGAAGCAGCAGATAGTTGCCGGCACCCATGGATGAGGGATGCTTTGATTGGAGGCTTTTGCAAGTGGCATGATGAAAATATGCTTACCCAAGAAATTGTAGCAGATTAAGATTGCTTTTATTTTTCTTTTAATTATTACTTGTCTGTATTTTCAAATGGTTGAGTGGGTGCATTGTCAAATGCTCTATACCATTTCTTGTATTTTCCATTTTTTATTTTGCACACTTTATCTCTCTATTTCTCTTTATTTAGATGTGAAACATGTCAGATGTTAGAAGTCAAGGCGCTAGTGGCTTTTGCATGTAACAAAATCTTAGGCTGCTTGCGAACTTTTGTGCCTCTCTTGAAGAGTGATGCAGCCATGCAGGTATCAGAATTACAATAGGAAAAATTGAGAGTATAGTCGATAAAATCAGCTTACACTACGTTCCTACTAATCTTGATACACTTGCCATTTTTATTTTCCAGTTTAACTTAATTACTTTATATACTTCAGATATTAAGGTGAACATATTCAAACATACAAAACCCACCATAATGCTAATTTCACCCAGTATCATCCACTATAATTTACATATAGATCTTAATATTGTGTAATGCGCTTCTGACAAGCAAAATCTATCCTTTCTCGAGGCTCAGTGCTCGGTAGGTCATAGTTAAAACGGGCACCTCCACATTGCACCGCATGTTAGCCCTACCAAGGGAAGCAGGTAGGGTGAATCTCCGTAGCAATCTCAACGGATTACGAACAAAACTCGTACCAGCCAAGCTGTGGGCCTGTGGCTAGTTGAGATATGGAAGAACCATTAAAAGAGCTAGTATGCACAATCAACTATAGCTCGACTGCATCACTGAGCTAGAAGGCAACAGCTTGAGTAGTGCCATCAAAGGTCAAGTATAGAACATCAAAACGCATGACAAGGAAATATAGAAAGAACCGAGTTGTGATCATGAAAATGAAACCAAGTTCAAACCATATTTCTTCACAATAAGCTTGTCAAACAATCACAGGATTACATTCCATACAAAATTCAGCCTGACGAGGTTACATGAGGAAAGACAATTTGGAAAGAATGAAGAGAAAAAAAGATCGACAAAATTTACAAGGCCTCAAAATTTATCAAAACAGCAAGGGCGATGAGGATCAATACATTGAGATTACAACCACGATAAATGCATTCTGCAAACCAAAACAAAGATAAACAAGCAGCTGTAGCAATCACTTGTTAGAACAGGGGGATCGGCCTATGAGCCTGCACTGTTCTGGAAGTAATGAACATATCACTTGCCCATTTACTGGAAATAGTTCACCATCAATGCCACAGCCATTGTGCGTGTGTTTTCCGGGCTTAATCTTCACTGCTTTTACCTGCATTTACATAAAAATCTAAGGTACATGTGACAGAACTCATTGCATAGGGGATCTACCTCAAATTAAAGTTTAGCATGAGATGATGCAAAGTCACAGAATAAATACCACAATCCGAATTTGAGCTCTAATTGCAAATTACTATGTTATCTTAGTGATAATTTGAAACAGAAATTAATCTGACATAAGTTGCTGCAACTAAAATTACCATCACTAATAAATCCAAAGTATGTAACGGTCGTCCCGAAGTGAATAGCCCCAGTGTTGAGCCACTCCACGGCAAATACATCAGTGGCAGTAAGACCTCCCTGGAAATGACAAAAGCAACTCACATGTGAACAGAAGTCAAGTCCGATGATGCTTTACAACAATAAAAGGGCAATCAAGTGAATGGATTTGCTAATTTGAGAATAGAAAAAATCCTCTTTAACGGACTATTTCTGGCTTTCTGCAAATAAAAACTAGGCTTAAACATAGGTGGGATTGTAAGAAGAATTAAAAGAATGGCCTTCAGGGCACCAGTTATATTGTCATCAGTATACTGGCCCAATACAACTTCAGTTTTTAAAAATCCTGAATATTTGTCTGGTTACTCAGATTTCTTCCCCATTCTTGTTTATGGAGTGGGATCAAGCTAAAAACCATCAACTGTAGGGTCATCATTACCCTAGGATAGACCTCTAGCTAAAGATATTTCCAGTAATTATTCGGACAAACAGAACATCGAGTGAGTCAAGAAAAGTTATTCAAGTTTACTTGAACTTTAAAATTATAGAAAAACTGTAGCATCGAGCACTTTGACAAGTATTAAAATTGCTAGAGATACGAAATTTCCTGCCCAATATATTCGGTAATACTTATCTAGATTGGTCTACTACCCTCTTAACTATATGGAATGCAATCCTAGATCTTTGGCCTCCGAAGTCATGCAAATCTTCAATCCTACCATATTTTAAAATATCAATTTGATCCTCCCCAGGCCTATTTTTGATGTATTATAATTAATTCATATGCCATACAGTCCAGAAAGATGAAGTTCCATAGAAATGAAAAAAAAATAATAATAAAAATAAAATAAAATAAAAAAGTTATACAAGACCTAACAAAATTACAAAATAACAGAGTCCAGTTATATTTCCGCATCTTAGGAGATATCTTTTCGCAGCTATTTCATAGATAAAGTATAAATTTCTCAATATAAGGTGACATAAAGAGCTTAATGTTTTGTAGAATATGTAGCTTTCAGAAGTCAAATTAAGCTCTTTATAGGTAATTCAACACATGGTTGTCACCTATGCACACCTATGTTGTCAGATACACCAGACTTTTCTCAGAAGGAAATTAAAGGTCTGCCTCAGACTCATGTAGCAGTGTAAAATTGCCTTGGGCCAATTGGATGACACACACTAGCCTTGCAAGTTGAAAAACTCATGGGTTCCAAATTAAAAGGTAACTTGAGCTGTGAGATTTTGTGCCCTATGCAAGATGCACATCACGTCTCCACACTTTTGGTGGAAAAAGAACAAGTGAGATGTCCCACTTCAAATGTGCTTGTCATTTTTAGGTAGCCTAGAACACACAACAAATATAAACAAAACTCTATGCAGATAGAAATTCAATTCTTGAGCAAATAACTTTCTTTAATTAATATTTGAGTTTGATATGCATTTTATGAGAAGCATATATTTAAAATAGTTTTTCTTGACATTTGAAAGATGAATTTCTAGACCTTGTTTGATTTTCATTTTTCAAAGTACATTTTTCTCTCTCCTTTTCAACCACATATTCTTCAATAAAATAATATTACATGCAAATCCAAAACTTTTCTTTATTTTTTAACCACACAATCTACGTCAAATCACTATTCTAGGATGCATTTTTCACAAAAAAGGGGGCATCAAACAAGCTCCTAAGATAGAGGGAAAATGAAAAAGGTCTATATTAGCAAATATTATTTGCCTCAAAATTCAGTATTAGCAATCCACCAAAAGGACGTGGGACTAAAAGAAACAAGTACCTTAACTATGGAAATTGCTGCAGAAACCGGATCTCTGAGCCCAAGAACAGTCCACACTAAAGAATTATCAGAACCTGCGGGTATAATTCCAATTGGAATTGAAATTGCTTCTTTTTGGTTGTCTCTGCTAAGTAAACCATTCAAAACCTGCATTTAAATAGAACCATGTAACAATTTGTAATACTTAAAACAGAAGGAAAAGGTTGTACTATACTTGGAGATAGTCACAATGGATCATGATCATCATCAGCATCAACAATCCGCAATCATGAAGCAATTATTTTCACCAAACTAACACCTAACGATCATGTAAGTATCAGACCTCAAGTACAGCATGCAAAAGATGACAGGCGCAATTCAAACTCCTCTTAAGGATACAAAAGACAATGGCGATGAATAAACAGAAATCACGAGACCTAATAACTTTTTGATGGACAAAAGAACACACATCATTGCTTTGGTTGTTACTAAAGCTAAAAGCTCATCAGAAGACAATGATGAAGAAACGTTCAAAACTAAAGACTTGCTATTGCTTGATAGGTAATGATTCTAATGAAAGTAAGGTTATTGTTTAATTTCACAATGACCTCCAACCTCCACTTAGAATGACTTAGCTAATAATTTTCACTTGTCACTCTATAGGAAATTGATAGATTTCTTAAGATTAGGGATCGCATATAGTTACCTAGGATTATGATGAAAATAGATTGCCTGAGATTAAGGTCGGATTTAATTATGATCTAGTAGTTGTAGATTATGATCCTCTTGGATGAGTAGTCTTAAAAAATTTCACATCACAGCAATAAATTCGTTCAACCAATATGCTGTAGCACTTAATATTTCTGGGATTAGATTTTTTGGTGTTCCTTCCCTCCTTTCGTCCTTCATTTGGCATCTCCATTTTTTGGCATCTTTGCCCTTTTCATTGTCCTTGTCTTCATTCAGGATTCACAATTCACATAGATGAGCAATCCATCAATCAAAATTTCTTAAAACACCAAGACCACAAAATAGCCTTCACAAGACTACCTCCAAGAATATTCACTGGCCATAATTTTCTCGAATGGTTCTAATTTTCCAAATTCTTCATCAAAAAAGGGTGAGGGAAATTATATTTACATGGAAATGTTATGTACTTCAATTTCATATTAGTCAACTATGGTAGGGGTACTCCAAATATCCCCACCACCACCCCACATTGAGTCTAGGTGGAGACATGAAAATATTGCTAAGATATATTAATTAAAAAAAAAATTGTAAAAAAAGCAACACAACTAAAACTAAAGCCTCATATCTGAAAAATGACTTGAGAAGCCAACAATTCCATGGTGATGCCCTGTTATTATATTGAATGGAACCGGTTACCACCACTAAGGAACTCTAAGAAAAAGTTGCCCAAACATTTAAAGAAGAAAGATTCAATTCAAGATTATGAGTTGAAGATAATAATTAGTGACTGGATGACAGTTCAAACACGGATAAGGGAGGAGAGAGGATCCAAGATAGTGCGTCAATTGCAAAAGATCCAATCACACAAGGGAAACATACTAAAAATGAATTTAAGGCCACAAATTGGAAATAAAATGGGCAATATCCTCTCACACCAGCAAGGGCTATCAAGCAACCAGAGGGTCAAAATGTACATTCGTCAATGACAAATGAGTATCAAGCTATGGTTCAAAGACCAATAAGCAAACTGCACCGTCAAAGGCCAATAAGCAAACTGCACTGAGTTTGATAGCATCAAAAGATATACCAGCACCAAAGAACATTAATATATTTGCACAAGTGAGCAAGCATGAAAAAAATCTGATTTCTGCTAACCTCATTTACGATTCCATCACCTCCAACACATATAATACCTACAAGTACATAACAAGTGGATAGTCAAATGCATCCGTTAAACTAGATTAAATCCTTATTACAAAGAGAAAAGGGACAACAAATACCATTGGGACAAGTACTGAAGTCAACACTGGCTGCGAGTTTTCTAGCATGACCAGCAGAAGTTGTTTTGACCACCTCTAACTCAAACCCAGCAAGCTGTAAAATATCACATCAAGGAAACACTAATTTAATCCTACCTCCAACCATAAAAACATGGACTAGTTACATAAGCCAAATGGATGTTGCAAAACATTCTGATAAAGTATAAAATTGAAGAAGTTCGGCAATCCATCTGTGACTATCAACCTAAACATAAGTCTATAGAAATCTGAGACAATTAACGTACTCAAGTAAAACTAATTCAATATAAAAAAATAAAATAAAAATAAAAAAGTCTCATCTCACACTTGGTGGCGGCTACATTAATCCTGTATAAATCGACAGAATTAGGTAGTCAAACAGCTTATTGAATTCCTCATGAACATGGATCTTCAAAATTCATGCTTCATAGCATGAAACAAATAAATAAAATTCATGCATATTGTCAACCGTAGAGTAGTTCATCCATATGTTATGTATTCCTTTCATTTATTTTTCCATCTCTCTGATGGAATCAATTGCCTCTTGTGCATTCTTTATATCATATAGAGGGCCACATGAACCATGCACATGGCTAAAAACAAGTTCCACAATAGAACAAGGAGACCAAATGAAACAATTATGTTTGGTCAAACTCCAGAAGCAGCAGAAAAGTATTTGAATTCATTTTGCTCCTCTTGGAATTTTTTCAGGTGAAAAAAGATGTCACTGCATGGAGGACTACCAATGAAATATCAGAAAAATGAATTCAGAGAAGATTAATTTGCTCATTAATACGATTTCTTAGTCTGATGGTCAAACATTAAAATTCTATTTCATCAAGTAACTAATTCTTAAATCTTCTGTCACAAGGTCACATTAGTGAAGCAGATATTTTACTCCAGTTTTGTATTCTAGCACATATTAGCAGATGAGCAAACGAAGAAAAGCCTTGCACAGAAAATTTGATTATTCGGTTTCAATAAAAAACCTTTTCCAAATTTCAAACAGGAAACCTTCCAATTATTCTTCCCTTAGTCCAAGTAAATCCGAACAGTAATTAACCTAGTTCCCCCTATAATATTCTCTTATTTATAAGACTAAATATTTACATGTATTATAGTAGCATATCTAGAAGTCAATATTTCAATGTAAATTAAATGCTGCGAAAGGAGTAACATGGCACCCACTACAAAAGCGTATTAACGCCTCCTCTCCCTACTACATAAACTTGATGTCAAGAGTCAGCATAAAATATAATAAATGGAATGAGGCTAAAAGGAGAGTTAAAGACAATAATACGGCGGCACCCACTATAGAAGCAACTTCTCCCAATTTAAAATCCTCAAAAAAGGTTATGCCCAATGAAGAAAAATATAAGAGGAAAATGAAAAGCCATCTATGTTCTCCACATTGATATCGTAGTCGCACAATATATCCCCCTAACAGTGAGAGCGATGCCTAACACATGCAAATCATCAGAGAAGTCTCAGTTAGCATACTAATGTTCATAACATGCATATTAAGAATCTCCAAGTCAGAGCTCTGTGTTTGAAACCCACATCTGACAAAGTAAAATCATTCCATGTGTCCCTCTACGGGGATCAAGACATGGAAGAAAGCAATGTAATCAAGTTTAAAGCTTAAAACTTGTATCATGAGAAAATGCTTCTATTAATTTTTAGATTCTCTTGCAACGTTTTGGATTTCACAACTATCTAAGGAGGCACTCTTGTTTACTCACCCAGCATCCACAAACTAGTGATGCTGCTAATCTATTTGACATACCAAAGTGGCAAGTGAAACTGCTTTACATATTTAACTCCAGGGTATGTGACAGAATCATGAACCAATAGTTCAAAGTGACATTGCACATTTTAACAAAATTTAAAATGAGATAATGTAGAATACAGTATATCAAAAAACCATTTAATGAAAACATTCCAGTAGTTAAACAGTAAATAACAGTAACAGCTTACTTTGAATATGGGTTCAGCCATGCCATGAAAAACTTTAGTTGAACGTCCACGTCCAGACCGAGGATTTAAAATTACAAGCATTTTTTGTGGACTTTTACATCTTATATATGACTCGGGAGGAAATTCATTGAAAATCAAATCTGTACCCTGCTTCTTAGAAGCCATAGGATGAGGGAGGCAATTCACATAGGACTGCCGATCTGCAAACGAATTAACCCACTGAAGTGCATAATCTGAGGTACAAGCTAAGAAGCGGTAATCTTTCCTACTTCTCCTTCTTTTGATAAAACCTTTTCTAAAAGGATACGCATGCACAGTAAAATGTCTTAGACCAACACAGTACGATACCTGCCAAAGATAACTAAACATTGGGACCAAATTGGAAAAAAAGAGGCAAAAATTCAGGCAAAATAAAAAGCACTTGTAAGGAATTTACCGAAATCACATCTTCTAAGCTCAACATCAGAGAACCACAGACTAGTGCCTTGCTCGTCAATTTAGCATCAACTGCATCCTGGCTTGCAATCTCTGTTGAAACTGGTACATCAGCATTTTTATTAGATTTCCTTTTGTCCAAAGCCAGTTTCCCAGAAAACACTTCATATCCTAGTAAATTAGACTGTTCATCCCCAATGTCAATCCTGTGTTCCTCCCTTTCAGCTTTCTTAGAATCATCATTGTTGATAGTGATTTCACCACGTGTTGCAGTCTTCCCTCTACCACGTTTTTCTGGAAAGACAACTGGAGATGTTTGCTGTCCAGTTGCTATTTGAGAACATAATCCCAGATGACGAAGAGACTTCTGAGACGTCAGTCTCAAAGAAGTATTCTTGGATAGATTCTGCATATTAATCCCCAAACAAAATTGGGAGATTATGGACTAAAAGAGTACCTAACAATGAAAGCGTCCCAGGATTTGAGGAGCAGATGATCCAGGAATCAAATTAAAACCCAATGGAAGAAATCAGCCTGCATAATGAATTTGTCAATATATCTTTCAACACCATAATAATGGAAAAAGAGATGCAAAGACTCAATATTTCTGACATGTAAAGAGATCCATCCGTAAAAGTGGCTGGTAGCTGCTATCAATATTGCTTACTCTTCTTTTTTTTCCTTTTTCCAATTTGTTGCAGAAGTATGAATAATGTCCCAGCTCTCCACGATATTATACTCCAGTTTTCTGCAACATTTTACAAAATATACTCTAACCATTCCCAAACAATATAAAGTTCAAACAAATCCAAATTGATGACACTCTCCCAATTATTTAAGATGACAAAATCGACTTATTTCCTTTTTATGCTCATTCAGGACTAACGGGCCCATTTGAAAGTATAAGCCTATAAAAGATAACATCAATGCTTATAGCTTCATAAAGTTACATAACTGTGCTAATTCTTCAAAAAATGTATAAAAGAGCAGATGTTTAAAATTCAAAGAAGGTGAAATCCGTACTACTGTGTAATGCAGAATTTGTTAGCTACATGTTATTATGGAATAGGTATCCTCAAAAAACAGTTCAGGATCCACTCAACTTCATTAAATCAGTGTCCCAAATATTTAAGTTCCATGAGCAGCTCCAATAGTAAAAGGGGCATCCAAGGGATAAAAGCCCCCCCCCCCCGACCCCACCCGAAAAAAAAACAGACCAATTTCATCACTTACGTAGTATAATACATAATGTTTCTCAACTTTCACCTGTAGCAATTTAAAAGAACTTTAAAGTATAGATAAACCTGGAAGGAATTCAAACTCCCAAATTAGCAATAGGGAAAATAACATCCATCTAAACAACTAAACACGTCTTTCATAGTCTTTTACGACAATTACGTCAACAAAATGATCTACCAATCAAACTTCTTTCCATATACACATAAATTTTACGTGCATACAGACACAGCCACACATATTTTTGTGCTTTCTGAAGTCACCATGTAAGACCAAACAGTATACTGATCCTACTTGAGCCAAATAAAAATTCTGAACATATAAACGACTGACACACAAAAGTAGAAAAGTGAACCCCATATTTGTAAACTATCAAAACCAAGAACTCATAAAATGTTCTGCATTCACCAACAATTTGTAGATTCCTCACCTAACGTCAACTCTGTAGACAACCACTCATGAATCTATTTTCGACACTAGGCTAGAGAAAGAATTAGGAAACCGATAAATTCAACAGGTTTAATCCAATATTCCCTATCAGAAATGCTCATTTCCATTACAGTAATCCAAAACACTGCGCACCACAGCTGGCCACATGATTGGCCATTTTCTAGATATTTTAGTTATCACTGATATGGGCTCAGAGCTATAGTGCCTAATAACTAAAATTTAAATTCAATAACCCGAAAGCCAAGATAGACCAAGTGTGTAAATAACCAACTATGCAGATAACACAAACTCTTTAACAAAATTATGGAAAATAGGAAAAACCCAAAATTTAACATACGCCTAACAAAATTTATTACGATTATCCTTATGGCCTGTACGATCACTCTTTAACATAAAACCCATAACAAAAAATGTGATAATTCAAAAAATTAAAACCCAGAAACAAACATAATTCTAGAAATGCACATAAACACATAGATACACGCATAAACATGAATGTGCGTGTGCTGGAGAGGGAATTACATTTTCGTTTTGAGATATTAAACAGAGTCACTGGAGGTGGTGGTACGGTGGAGAGATCGGTCGACGGAGCTGGTGGGCGAAGGGTGGTACGGTGCCTAGGGGGAAGGGGTTATAATCGTAATTGGAGAATGAGCAGCGGACCAAAGACTGGTATTTTGTCTTTTTGAAATTTGTATATATTTTAATGTTTTGTTGTTAGCATAATTTTCAGATATTTCTATTGCTTTCGGATAAAGATTAGCATAATTTAGATAAATTAGTTTGGAAGATTAGTGGCATTTGACTGTGACATTTTTGTACATAGTGAACTCTATTTGAATACTGCTACTCACACAAACTTTTGACTTATGTAGTCTCGGTACAATTTTATTTACAGTAGCTGAACTTTTAATAAAATTACACTTCAAGTATTAAATTTTAATTTTTCACAATTAAATTAAATTTTAAGAATTTAAATTCAACCGCTCGTGCATGCCAATTTTTAATTAAGCCACGTCATAAAAAATGTTATTTCAAAAAAAAAAAAAAAACCCTTGTCTTTTAATATTTTATTATAAATATATTGCTATAGCTATCAATTTATTATTTTCTTTTATATCGTAGCAATGTCAATGGCGTGGATAATCAGTTGCTGTATAACTTTCAACTATGCAATTTTTGTCACTTTTAGGATGGGTCAAAATGTGACATGATGGTGAAATTTGAAAAACAAAAATAATAATAGTAAATAAAATTGCAGTTCATTGACACTGATTGAGACAAATAAAAGTTTAGGATTCAATTGAGATTTCTTTGAAAATTCAGTGACCGTGGATGAAATTAAGCCATTTTGATACAGATTTTTAGGATTTATTTTTTTCATACTCATTTCAAATACACATTCTCTAAATAAAATAATTTTGCTTATGGATCCATTATCTTTTTCATACTTTTTAATTACATATTTTTTTAAAAAAAAATTATTTTTCAGAAAATCTATTTCAAAAAAACTACATCAAATGAGCCTAAGAGATTGTTTGGTAAAGTTTAAAAGTCAATTAAAATCAATTTTTTGACCGTTATTTCACTATATCGTCGTCATTTTTGAATTCTTCTTTCACGAGTAGGACTCACTTTATTTTTAACTATCAAAAAATCAATTATTAAAATCTCTACCAAACAAGCACTAAGTATTTTGTGTTTCAATTTTGATTTTTGACTTAAATGGTAAAGAAAATTGGTATATGTGCATAAATTCAAAAATCCTTATATGATATGTCACTATCAAAGTTGAAAAAATTGGTCCGGTTTGGTTTGTATTTCAATTTTTTATTTTGAGTTTATTTTCATTTTTTTATTTTAAACGTTTATTTTTAAAATTGCTTAAAGTGTATTCGACTTTTCATTTTCAAAAATAGTTTTTCAAAACAGAAAATTAGAAAACATATTTGATTTGAAATTTTGAGAATTTATTTGATGGTATTTTATTTCATTAATTTGAGTATTCAATAAAATAGAATAATTTTATATCAATATATTATAACGTAATATATACATTTTAAAGTTGATGGGTCTTACAATATTTTTCCTGCTACAAAGGTATGATAAAAATATAATAAATAAAAATTAATGTCGTGAACTAAGAATATTTATTTTTTAATAAATAAATTTTTAAAATTTTTATTAAACAACCATAAGAGTTTTTCTTTTTTATAATTTTATAATCCTATCTTTATGAATTTATTGTATAAATTTATGTTTCTGTTATTTTATTTTTTTTAAAATTTTGTATTTTTTGAATTTTTATTCAAACACTTATTTCCTATGCAGTGGAGTGTTTTTCGTATTTTCACTAAAAATGTTAAAAAGATTTTTTTACTATAGTTGTTGAATACATTTGTCAACAACTTTTGACCAACGATGACCAAATGGTTTTGGTCATTGAATATCAGCAACCAAAAATATATGCCCTACAACCATTTATATGGCTACTGAAAGTGATATTTCGTGTAATGATTTAACTCTTAATTGAATATGTAAATACTCACTGTGCGAATAAAGGCCTTTGTGAAATATATATTTCTATAACTTTCAAAAATAATCTACAATGAATGAGTTTCTAACTATCATACTAAAACTTGCAAAAACTAAGGGGGGGTGTCCACAATATGGAGTTCTATGGATTTTAAAACTCCATATAAATTGAGGTGTTCTTAATTCAGATTTAAATATAATTCATTAAAATGTAGGTGTCCTCAACCTAGATTTTTAGAAATATTTATAAATTTAGGTATCCTCAACTTAAATTTTAATAGGTAAATTAGAAATTTACTTGTCCTCAATAACTACTTGATTTAAAATAATTTCATTAATTAGATAGATTTCAAGCCAAAAGTATAAATACCAAAAAACTGTAACAATTGTATCCCAACCCCACAAATTTCAAGACTTTTATCGCCTGCAGATTTGTCGCCCTCTCTCTCTCTCTGGTGAAAAGGTTTTTCTTCTTCTTCTCCTCCCTATCTCGCATCCTTCTACCGTGAACAGATCAATTTTTATTGAATTTATCAATTTTCTGACTTGTTAATTTCACCAATGGCCATCAATTGATATTTTATTCTGACATGTTAATTCTGGATTTTTCTTATTGAATATACTACAGATTTTTTCCCCTTTTTTCCTCTAAAGCATCCTGTTGAATATTTGTGGAATAGTGGGTGTGACTTTTTGACTTGTTAATTTCACCAATGGACGTAGTAATATCTATTTGTGACTCTTCCATTAATTCCCACATATTCTGACTTGTTAATTTCACCAATGGCCATCAATTGATTTTTTATTCTACCCCAAAAATTCTACAGATTTGTCGCCCAAAAATTTCTTTGTGTGTTTGTACCATGGATAATGGAACAGAACAAATCTTACTGCATTATTATTTTTTTTAATTGAGAATTAACAGAAGTTATTGCCAATTTTCCCATCTTTTTTAGCACTTAATCCAATTGCCGTGTCCCCAGGGGCGGACCGAGGGGGGGGGGGGGGTTATAGGGGCAATTGACCCTCTAGATTTTGGGGGAAAAAAATTATTGCTTAGCTTTTTTTTTTTTCCTTAGTTTTTTTTTTTATTAGAAGATAGCCTATAAATTTTATTTTTGCCCCTCTAACCCAAGTCGTCTGGTCTGCCCCTGCGTGTCCAACCTCATTATCCTTTCCTGGACTGGACATTAGTTGTATTCTTTGTTTAAAGATGGATATAAGTAGGCCATGAACTTTTGCAGGGACCCCAAAATTGTCCTCTTCAGTTGCATCTAACAAGAACCTCAAAATGAGTTCTGAAATCTGTCCTCCAGGGCCTTTTGTGTGTTTGTGTACATATGTGTGTTTGTATCTCACAAGCAGTGTAGCCTTTTGAATAATTCATATTGATTATGAGTTTCATTATCTAATACTACAGATTTTTCCCCTTCTCCCTCTCTCGCATATTTGTGGAATATTGTTGCTTAGTGGTGATTATGTGCAGAAAAAATGCTTGATGTTGTGTCTTGACTTTTACTTTAGATTGTGGATACTAGTGGTTTAGATGTAGAAAGAACTCCAACATCAGTTATGTATGTATATATTTTCGTAGTGTAAATTTCTAAATTGTCAGAACCTGTCTAGCAGAATGGAAGAAGAAATGAAAGAAAGAACAGAACAAGCACTTGAGGAAGAGTTCAATGAAATTATCAAGTACCCAAAATCTATAACACTATTTTTGTTGAATATTGGGTTTGATTAATTAGCTAGTGATATTTTTCCCCCTTCAATCGGGTTGATAGACAATCAGTATCATTATGTAATCTGGCCCAAAATATGAAGGCAACTGAAGAGTTCCGTTGGTATCAACCTATAGTATGAGTATTTTGTGGGTGTAATTATATTTATGCAGTTTGGAATGAATACTTTTTCTGTAGCAAGAGCTTCTCTATGACAATCAGATTTCTTGTTGGGAAACTCATTTTTAATGCAATTGGAGATTGGAACCTTTCTCCTTCTCAGTAAATAAGTAAAAAAACATAACATAGCTCGTGGCGGTGTTGTGGAAACGTGGATCTTTTGATTGCACTGTCAAGCAAAGGTGGTGAATACTCGAAGGTAGAGGAAGACATTAAATACAACCCAATAGACTTTTGAGTTCCAAAAAATTGTTTCAGGTGTTCATCTATATAAGAATTTCATTCTCTGAATTCAATTTCATAAGAAGGTAGGAATAGAGAATGAGTGCATATCCTTTCCCATGTTGAATGGAAGTATTTCCTGAAGGGAGATATTTTTTTTTCCGATGATGCATGCATAATTCAGTTTACTTGTTACTCAAATAGTCAGATGTTTGATATTACATTGACCTATTACAAGATTTTATCCTTATTTTAAGGTAAATTATATTATATTTGTTCATAACATTATTATTATTATAATAAATAAATCATTAAAATATTATGTTCATTTTAGGATTGTATTGGAGCTATTGATGGCACACATATACCAGCTATGATATCAGGGCATGACACGAACAACTAATGTAATCGTCATGGAACAATATCACAAAATGTATTAGCAGCTTGCAATTTTGATTTGGAATTCATTTACATCCTTAGTGGATGGGAAGGTTCAGCTCATAATTCCAAACTACTAAATGATGCATTAGTAAGAAGAAATGGACTTAAAATACCAATAGGTAATCAATTTTTTCTTGAATTGTTTATAAGTTATCTTTTTCGTGACATGGATGATTTATGCATGAATTGTATACTTAGGTAAATATTTTCTTGTGAATTGTAGATTTCCAAATCGTCGGTCAATTCTTAGCTCCATTTCGAGGTGTTTGGTATCATCTCAAGGATTTTGGTGGCTAGGGTCGTAATCCAGAAAATGCTAATGGATTATTCAATTTTCGTTATGCTAGCTTAAGAAATGTAATCGAGAGAATATTTGGCATTTTCAAGTCGCGATTCACGATTTTTAAATTAGCACCT